GAAGCACCATCTGCTGCGTGTATTTGAAGACTGGTTGTGTTCTGGCTCTCAGGAGTTACTGATCCACTGAAAAGTTTTACAGTGCGTTGGATTATCTGACTACAGTGGGTTTAGTTTTGTTTATATTTGCCACTGAAACATTTCTAAGAACCAGACGCTATTTATTTTTTGTTACACCTTCATATTGGATATCAGATCAGTTTTGTGCAGCAGGCTCGGTAATTACAGCCTGTGCCAGAAAGTGCAAGTCAGACATAGAACCTTAAAGTGTTTGCGACACCCTTTTCTAATTATATATATATATATATATATATATATATATATATACATTTAATTTTTTGTACAGATTTAATACAACAATGTTTACTGTTACTATTAGAGATAGATGAATCAGATTCAGAAGAACAATTAATACAAATAAAAAAAAAGTAAAGAGCATTTTAGGGTGTTAAAAAATACGTTTCTGAACTGGAGCTCTGCACTCACACTAACTGTCTTTGGAGGCACTGTCAGTAATGGAGCATGCACTTAATCCCAGCTCAGACAATATTGTTAACAGCACATTTAACCCAATTCTGTCGAGAAGTTATGAACTTGGTCACATGGCTGTTAAAAATAAAAAAAAGTTGAACAGAATGTCAGTGTAAAGTCTGGCCCCAAAAACCAGCAGGACATTAGAGCGCAGACACTAGAATCTTTATGTCGGATATTAGATTTAAACATAAGGAACTTAAACCTTTAATAAAATCCTAATGGCACACATAAAGCATGCAAGAGCTAAAGCCTGAGGGTTAATGGCCAGCTAAGGTCGGATGTTTGCAACAAGCCCTGCGTTAAAAATGAGGCGACAGATGTGCAGGTCAGTGAGGCCGGTGATTACAGTGAAAATTTAATCAGAGAAAATTCACATGCAATGTGTTACTGGAAACTAAAACACTGTGTTGGGAAATTACAGGGAAATAGGTGGAGGGAAGTGAAGCCTGCTTTTACAAATCATTTGTTATCTGTAATAAAATGCAGCTAATGAAAATAGAGTCAGAGAGTGAAAGGAAAGAAGGGAAAGTAGATGTGAAGATGAATCCACATTACTTGAACCTTTTCCAAATGTTCACACTGCCTAAACAAAACCTCATTCTACTTGCATTTTCTTTGATAGACCAGAGGTTTGAATTGGTAAAAATGTGGCAATACAGTAATTATGACGATAGATGAGGTACTTGATATATGATCGGGGTGAAAGCGGTTTAAAATTCTTAACAGTACTATAATTCTGACCTGTAATCTTATATAGCACCTTTTCAAGTCTGGAGACTTGACCAAAGCGCTTTACACTGCATTCAGTCATTCACCCATTCACACACACACACGCTCACTGATTATGGTAAACTACATTGTAGCCACAGCTGCCCTGGGGATATATATATATGTTTGTTTGGTTTTTTTTGTTTTTTAGGATCTATTTTAATCAAAACCAATATTGTCTAATCAAATATCACAATATGTGACAGAATCAATTTTTTCTTACACCTCTATGCTAGATCAAAATAAAGTGATGCTTAATGACTTGGTTTTCAACCTAACTAAACAATAAAAAATCAGGAAAGTGTTACAGTGATTTTTATATTGATGTTTTGTATTCTGATACATATTTGGTGTGTGTCATACATGGCTTGTGGCAAACTCTTCAGTAACAGGTCTTTCATACTTCTCTGGTTTATGCTCTCCATTCTTTTAAAGAGAGAATCAGTCTGTTCTAGATTGGGCCACACTTGATCCTGTTTAAAAGATGGGTGAACCGATGCTCCAAGAAAAGGTTTAAAGCAGAAACTCTCCACCAATATATTCAACCTACCTGCTTTGTTCCTTGGTCTTCATAAACAGCTTTATGACTAAAGTTCTTTTAAAAAAAATAGCCTCCTTCGTTCACTCTATGTATGTTTTGACATATCATATAAAATCCTATATGGAGCTAAATTGGGACAATAATGTTCTTTAAAAACCTTTTTTTTATTTTAAAAAAAGGATTTAACAGATTTTTTTTTTTTTACACTGGAAAATATAACAACCAAATGTTTACAACTACTTATCTAGGTTTCTTTTTTTGTTTCAGATTTTTTCTTTTTTTTTATGTCTCAAACTGCTTGTCTCTGTGTGCAGGAGATGGACTTCGATGACCTGGGGTATTAAATGACTGACAGTTTCAACTCCTGATCAAAATAACTCCAGGTGTGGCATTCAGGAACCATGGGAAGTAGAAATCTCTTTAAAACAGTGAATTATGTTATTTTTCAAAACCAATCCTATAAACACAAAATATGGACCATGTTTTGAAGGTATTTCTAGTTTCCATGAACTGTGAATGCAACACTTGGGGTTATTTCTTTAAGGTACCTGTGCTGTCAGTCTTTATTCCATAACATTTAATTTAAATTCCACTCCCTTACTGAAGGGGCACCAGTTTAAAAATGAAAAAAAGAGAAAGTAAACTGTGGTTTTAAACATTTCTTCCCAATTTCAAATATTGTTTTCTTTTTTTCCTTCAAAAAAATCATTTCCAGTTTAATTTTTTTCAGGTTCCAAATCATTTTTGTTTTGTTTAAAACACACTATTTTTTAATAAACTGCATGCCCCTAATTTAGCCCCATAATTTTACTGAAATACATTAAAACTTGTGGTTGCATAAGACATGTACATGTGAAAATGTTGTGAAGCACTACAAGAGTCAATAAGCAGAAGAAAAAAAAGGAAGAATCCATTTAAATCCACAAATAAAAAAAGGAATTATTTATGACAAGAGAAAAGACACCCAGCAGGTTGGCTGTCTGCACCAGCTGAAGAGCGGGCGGAGCTGGCAGCAGGCAGGAGTCAGTTCAGATTACCAAAACAAACAGTGGGGACATCTCAGTTTGGTGACAGGCCAAAGACCCCACTGACAAAATCAACAATTACAAAAGAGGGGAGCTTCCCTTTCAGGTCACAGAGCGATCTGATTAAAACTAATGTCTAATTGCCAGGGTACTGCATGGGTCCAACCCTGAACCTTGGCTCACATTTTTAAACACAGGTCGTCCTTCTCATACACAAGGCGAGGGGACAGCTTAGAGAGGGCTGCAAGGGTAGATGTATCTGAAAGGACATCATGTGGCTGTTGCAATGGTTTCAATAAATCCTGTCAACACATTTCGAATCATCTTCCTGGAGCCAGCCACAGCAGAGGGATATTTGTTTGAGATTTACTGAAAACTCCCTTCCATCTTAACTGTATTAATTTTTCTGAACCTTGGATAAAATAAGAAGGAGGCTTTGTTAATTACAAGATTACTTCCAGTTTCTTGTTACAGCTCTGAATGCATGCTTCTATCCCTTTACGCCTAATGCAGCAGAATGCCTGCTGCTAGATAACACAGTCTAATCCGAGAGGACAGGCTCTTTAACTAGATCTATGGTTACAAACAGGAGGTTACTGAAGCCCTGCAGCAACAGTTTTAACTTTGACAATGGGCTATTTTAGCCTTTGAGCCCCTAGAGAAGACAACAAGACTATTTCCAGCACCTAATCTGACATGGTTAGACCTTCAGTGACTATCTGCAGCCTATTAGGTCGCTCTTTATCTTATGTCTCGATATGAAAACTTTTGATTTTCAACCTACAGTATTGTGAAAGCCTGAAAAGTTCCAATAGTACCATTTAGGGGGCAGGGAGGTTGTACTAAAATAGTAGTGTAGATTTTTCTGCAGTAACGTATGATGAGCATTGCTAAGATCTAATAAAAATAGAGGACTTATATGTAAGAAAGACCAAAAGAGAGTTTAAATACTGAGGGGATAATGGAGAACGACATTGAATGGAGGTAAGTTAATCAGGGGATAATGTGAAGCTGCTGGGGCAAAATGAAAGCAAGTAAACTAAGGGAGTATAACTAATAAACACACACGGTTGCATTAAGACACAACAAAATAAGGGTTGTCAAAACACAATGAATACTCCAAAAAAATATATACTTAAAGGTTGTATCCAGATACATTCATAATTCAACATGGTATTGATACTAAAGACACAGGAAAAATAATTCCCTTTAAATATTTTTAAATTGTTATGTTTGGGTTATTTATGAATTTGTTTGTATCCTTATTTAACTGACACCTGTGATTAAGCCGAGAAAACCTTCTCTGTGCCTGGATTAAACCTTTAACCATTTGACATTATCAAGCCCCCAGGTGTTAAAAATGGTATTGAAATTGAATATTTTCTTGAGTGTCGATATTGAGTTAAAATTTCAGTAACCCTTTAATCTTAGATATAAGAGATCCAAACTAAAATGCACATGGATCAAAGCAGTCATCGCGATCAGCTGATGAAGCAGCCAGTTTTTGTTATTTTGTTCCTAGGTCAACATTTTATTCTCCTTGAAGGAAAATGGATTTAACTTCATTTAGATGTTACAATTAAAATAAATAATTAAACATCAGAATATTGAACATGGCTCTCCAACCAAATATTGCATTACCTGTCAATGTATGACAGCTGTCATGCATTGACAGGTAATGCATGACAACTTTATTTTATTTATGTCACATTCAGACTCACCCACCCCAGATAAAACTTTCTGGAAGCGCCCTTGGAAAGTTCTCAAGGCTGTTTGTTTACTGGTGGTTTGCGCATGACGCATTGGACTTAAGAGAAAGCTCCTAATGGAAAAATGGTCCTTGAGGCTGTTTTCCAGGCTCCAGGCTGCAGCAGGCTGCAGGCTACGCTGAGCTACAGAGGCGTTATTGCACAGGAGAGGAACGCTGTTCCTGCACCACATCCATGTCATCTGGACGCGTTCTGGTTGAGACACTCAGCTGAGCAGCACCATCTATCCAAGTTTCACACACATGCAAATCAACATGCAGCGCACAGTCTCCACACCGCAGCCCATCGCCTCCAGACCATTCTCCTTTTAGTCTCATCATGTTTTATTGACTAGAAACGACCCTCAGCGGTGCCTTCACTTACAATCAGCGGGATGGTTCTGTCGTCCCGGTGGATCTCCAGCCGACCGGGGGCCAGCTTCTGTCCGTGGCTCCTGCCGCGAGCCTGAGACGCGGACGACGACGGCGTCGAGGCGGGCTTGTTGTCCTGCCACAGGTAATAAAACGTTCCGAGGATCCAGGCGACGGTCAGAATGGCGATGGCGTTGGCCCGTATCCTGCGCATGGTGAGCCCATAAGGAGGGCGAGCCCGACTGGTTCAGGTCCGTCCGCGGGCAGAAGGTGCAGCCGCCCCCGCCGGTGATGGGTTGAACCTGCCGAGCAGACAGACAGCTCCTGCTTCTACAGCTCCTGTCGGAGAGAAGCTTCCCTCTGCTGGGATTTACGCACCGACTGAGCGCACGGTCCTAGCGCCGAGGATTATAAGCAACACCAAACACTGCCGCTCATACTTCACTTACATTCTCCAGGGAAGAACAGGCAAGATTTCCAGCCAACAATTGACATATAACAAGGAAAAGTGAGGGACAAACTGCTTTTTGTTCTAAAAAAAAATCTGAATATCGTCTCTCCTTTGTTATTACGGTAATACATTGTTACAATAAAAATCACATCTTCCCCTTTAAAAAGAAAGAAGACACTCCTGATGCATCATGCACATAAAACATTCACAGGTAACACTTTACCTGTATGCATAGCGCTCTTAATTTTATGAGAATAAACCAACCCTGTATATTGAGATTCACCAGACACTGATTACATCTCCTGAGACCCAAACAAATGATGTTGCATTAATTAAAAAGTGAAGCACAAAAATGTTTTTCAATCTGCTGAGATAACACTCCACATCCTGAGCACACAAACACTGCAGAACATGGTCGCCTCAAACAATTGAACAATGATTTAATACATAAAGGATTGTAGTTTCCATTAGATCTATGTTCTGCTTTTCAGCAGCTAAGAGCTAAGGTAAGGATGTTTTAGTCATTTCAATTTTATTTTCTGAGGAAAATAAATGTTTCTTCATGGTCAAGTGAATATTCTATCTAAGGTGACATTTGTTTTGAGCAATGCGCTACATAAATAATATCAGGATTTGGTTAAGGTTTGTGGACCCAAATGCAGAGGCAGGGAAGCAGAGGTGAGTTTCTTGAGGATTTAAAAGACAGGTAAACACACAACTGAGGCAGGAATCCAAAAATCAAACAAGAAAACAAAGTCAAACAAACCAAAACCATGGAGACATCTGGGGGAAACAATCACGAGGAGGAAGTTTGACGAGGAACCAGCACTGAGGAACTGAACAGAGAGTGTATTTATGGGAGACTGAAACAAAGATAGGACTAACGAGTAGATTGGGAGCAGGTGTGAGCAGAGCAGAACAGGAAAGGAGCTAGGGAAAAAGGAGAACACAAGAGGGCAGCAGAGGGCAACTAATAAAAACCTGAAAACTGAAAAAATAACCAGAGAAAACAACAAATAAGAATTAAACCACTAAAACTAGAAAACATCGAGCAAAGTAAAACTGAATACTTAAAAGAAAACATAACAGAACCAAGACTGTGACAAATAAACTGAATTCAATTGTCTGAATACATCGTTTTAAGAATTAAATCCATGTTATGAACCAACAGTTACTTAATAATTACTAATAATTAAATAGCCATTTTATCCAGTACTCTTTTAGTCATCCTCAACTCATTTCCTTCATGAATACTTTCTACTCTTTCTTGAGTAAAAAAAAAAAATTAAAAATTTAGGGACTCTAACCACCTCAGGGTATATGGTTTGTTATATTATATATATAAAAAACTGTTAGAGATGTAATTTGTTAGAATCAGCACTTCAAATGGGAAAAATATGCTCTAAATAAAGTTATTGAATTAAAAAGTATAATTTTGCTTGCTTACGTTATTGGAAAATAGTAAAGATGTAAAGGTTATTTTTGTATCTCTAATATTTATTTAATGAGAAAAAAAATATGCAATTTAAGGAAATGTGTATTTTCATTTATTTATATATATATTTTTTTATAAACCCACCAGTGGCACAACTGGTGCAACTAACAATTAGACTAACAGAAGCTCTTTGAAAATACTTTTTGGCTCTCTTGTTAAATGCAGCACTCTACAGAGGCCCTTTATTTTTAGCCACAGCTAACTGGTCCATCCGACGGATACCTCTGTCCTTTAGCAGGATGACAAAGGAGGCACAAAAACCTACATCTCACTGTCAGACGATAGCAGATAGTCCTCAGCGGATCTGTCTGCATGCCGACCAGTGATTTGGAAGAGATGCCAGAAAAAGAGCCTTTTTCTACTCATTAAAAACACAAACATGTGGGTAGTCACAGTTCATAAGCATTGTTTGTTCACATGAGATTAATAAAATATTCAACATAAAAGATTCTAGGTGGGTTTGACTCCCATGCACACTTTTAAATGTGGCGGAGGACCTGTTATTCTCTTGGCTTGTTACTCTTCCCAAGTGCCTCAGAACCTTATTGGTGTTCATAAATGTGAAATTATAATAATAAATAAATAATTGAACTTTATCTATCCCATCACCTTGTGGAGCAGTGCGCTGCCATCGTGGGGCGCACAGGGAGCTGTCTGGGGTTAAGGGTCTTGCTCAGAGACCCAGAGTGGCAGTCTGTGGGAGTGGGGCTTGAACTCAGAACCTTAGGATTCCAAGCTCTATGCCCTAACCACTAGTCTATCACTCCCCATACACTGTAAGAAATAAAACAGGGATGCTATTTGCTTTCTGTAACTCTTATGGTCAGATTACTATCAAAAAATGTTATTTTAATGATGAACATAAGCAGGTCGAATTGTATTTGAATAACAAAGAAAGATGGTAGAACAACTAAAGATAAAGGATTAGTTCTAACATAAAACTGTCACTTAAAATTGAAAAGGTGTATATGTTAACATTTCCAAAAATCCCTTGTTTATATAACTTTCTAATGGTGAGATTAATACCTGAAATTATTTACTTATTTTGATATTGAGCAGAGGCCTTTTTTGTTGCATTCAAACAACAGATTTTAATCCAACTAAAGATAACCAAACTAATATAACATAATCCCATCACTTTAAACGTGACGGGTGATTAGAAAAATGAACATGTCAGTAGCAGTTAACATGAAAGGATTTCCTGTATCCCATTTAACGGATATAAAGAAACATAAAAGTATAAATGTAACGAATTCATCCAGATGTGTCAACTAGTTCCAGCCACTGCAATATGGCTGTATTAAATTCATGACTGAAATCCAACTTAATATTATTAATTAAACTGAATTAAACTGGCATAACACACAATGGCAGATTAGGGAATTTATTGCATTTGCCTTTATTTTAATTATTGTTTCAAAAGAAGATATATAATATTCTTTGCTTTTAATCAATTTAGTTTAGTGGAACCAGTTGACATCTAGGTTATCTAAATTCAACATGTCAGTTTTTGAGTGTAGGACAGAGAGATGAGCCAAATAGTTGAGAGAGCATAAGAGAGGACCTAGGACTCTGATCTAAAGGTCGCCTCTCCCTGTAGGCTGCTGTTCTGTTCCTACCAGCGCCGCTGTTATTCAGAATACTTATTTGTGTTTAAATAATCTTATACAGAAATAAACAGCTGATGATCGGATTAGACAAAGTAAAAACGCTCACAGCCTGGTTACTATGGTAAAAGACTGCTAATCCAGAATTTAAATATAATCTGAATCTTGGCTCCAGCAGATGTGTTTTCAAATTACTTTTTTAAGATATGCAATTTAATTAACATCTCCCACCTTTGAGAAGAAAAAAAAAGAATACTGTGGCTAAAGTAATAAAAGATTGTCATTGATGGCGTCCGATTTAACATGAGGGGTTAAAAGTCCATATGAATATTGTAGACCGTCTCCCCACCTTTAAATATGGACCAGCTCACCGACAAAGAAAACAAAAGAAGCATAACAAAACCCTGGGGGGATAACAGAGCAGAGGAAGCAGCAGTTTCTTAACTGTCTTTTTTTCATTTTGCCCTCTGCATAAAGAAAACTGCAAACAGCTAAAAGTATGAGCTCATCCAACCCCAGCTAAGACTAAAACGTCGTGGGAGATGTGCTCCCACAGCTGGGATCAGCACAGCATCATGGGTAAAGGCCAAGCTTTCATTATCACAAGCATAAGTATGAGGAAACATGATCCAGAGGCAGCAAAGTAAAGGCTGAAATAGATCGTAAATTATATCTGTAGTTCTGTCCTGTTCAAAGTTGTATAATTTACACCTCTTCCATCTGGTTTTATAGATCGTTGTATATTGTAATAAGCTGTGTTTTCCCCCCATTGCAATATCCCATTGGAGATTACTGCCATCAAACACCAAATCCCCTGTAAGTGTGTTTTCACAGGGAAAGGTGGTGCCTCTTTATATTCAACTCGTCAATATATTGTTGAACCACTTTTGACTGCTATATCACAGCTGCAGGTCTTTTGTGAGGTTTTTCTATAGAGTGAATTTTGTTCCATTGCTTTTGCAAGCAAAAAAACATTTTTTGGTAATGAAAATTAAAAACAAAAAATGCCATCAAAAAATTAAACTTTACAAAAATGTTTCAATTGATACATTTTATATTTTTTATTTGTTCAGTTTTTTTTTGTCAGATTTGGTTTCTCAAATATTTTTTTCAATAACATTTTTTATTTTCCATTTTTTCATTTTCACTTAAGTATTTTGAACTCCATCCTTTTGAAATTGCAGTATGCAGATCTGATTCCCTTTGTTCTTGGGGGTGGGCTTTCCTCTGAAGTGAGGAGCAAAGATGCATTTCTATTGGTCTGCACTGTGCATGTTACAATTCTGAAAAAAATACATATGGGAAAACAAAACATGTGAAAAATGCATATGTGAAGTCTTATTCCGAATAAAAATCTTCTAATATCTGTTCATGCCGTTGGGGCTCTGATTGTTTGGATCATTGCATTCAAAAGATTGCCTCCAAATTTGTCTCTTGTTTAGCTCCATCCATGGTCACACAGTCCCTTGCAAAGAAAAGCATTTCCACATCATGATCCTGCCACTACCATGTGTCACAGTTGCTATAATATGCTCCGGATGATCTCCAATGTTAATTTCTTGACACAGAAAGTTTAGCTTATGGATTGAATCATGCTGCAAACAGGATTTCTCTCTGCTTTGTTATACCGGTTTCTTCTCCATAACAACAAGATTTATGGATTGTTGTCATGCAACCATTATTTTCTAACCTGATTTATGTGTATTCTCAGCTCCGATGCAGTTACCATGGACCTTGGCTGCTCCTCTAAATATATCTCAAAGTGATACAGGGAAACTGCACATTGTGATGTGACGAATCGGAAAAAGTTC